TTTGAAAATTAATGACACTTGAGTCTTTAAACTGTCTAGACTTTTCTTTTCTTTTTCTTTTTTTTTTTTTTTTTAAGTAAGCTCTGCACCCAACATGGGGCTTAAACTCACAACCCTGAAATCAAGAGTTGCATCCCCTATCAGCTGAGCCAGCCAGGAGCCCCCTGTGTATAGCTTCTTGATTGTAAATAAAAGAAACTAACTCTGGTTGGAAAAGGAGTTTATCAGAAGGATATTGAAGGGCTCACAGAAACAGTTAAGAGTCTTGAATGTTTAAAAGTTGTAGGCAGGAACCAAGGCAGATCTGGAGAAGCAAGGACAAGAAATCCAGCCATCATCTTTTATCAGGATTAGTTTGGCCACAATGCCAACGGCTCGTACACTGCTCTGACAGATCAGCATTGCCACTGGACCCTGTTGCCACCACTGCCATCACTAGAAACCACTCTAGCTGCCACGAATGAATCCTGAGCGCCTCTTTGTCTGTGTAGCATTCTCTCCACGTTCAAAGTCATGAGTTGAGGCAGTGTCTAAGTCATATACAGCGTGCTGGCTACTGGTTTTCATAGAGTGAGAGGAGTGTTCTCTAAACGCCTGGCATTATGTAGGAGGCTAGTCACTTCTGTAATGGAAGTTGTAGTCGTTTGGCCCACTGACATGCAATGTAGAAGTCTTCTTTTTTAATATACCCCAGTGCTGCAGCAGCACCGGGGCCCTCCGCGGGGTCTGCTCCTGGGTGGAAGCAGGCAAAGCCTGTGACTCTGTGGCTAGACAATTCAACACGCTCATCCCCTGGTGCTTGCCCCCCACTGGAAACCAGCACAACCACTGGGCCGGCCTCTACGGACGGCTGGAGTGGGATGGCTTCTTCAGCACCACCGTCACCAGCCCTGAGCCCATGGGCAAGGAGGGCCGCGTCCTGCTCTCCGAGTGCGCCTGCTCCCAGGGCTTCCTGGACCCCTACCGGCTGTTTGGCAACATCCTAGATAAGCCCCGACAGGTGGGGAACACTCTGCCGCCGCCGCTGGCCAAAGCCATTGGCTTGGAGATCAAGTGCTGTATGTTAGCCAAAGCTCGAGAGAGTGCCTCGGTTAAAATCAAAGAGGAGGAAACTACTAAGGACTCGTTTTGCCCTCCCATCGCCCTTGTTTCTGGCACCAGGGATCCCCAACATGCACTGATGTTGTATTTTTAACATGTCAATCTGTCAGTTCAAATGTGTCGTTCACAGTGTTTGTGGCCTTGGCTGACATGAAGCTGCTCTGTGACGTTTGCTTATCAACTAATGACTTAGTGATCAAACTGTGCAGTACTTTGTGCATTCTGGATTTTAAAAGTTTTTTATTATGCATTATATCAAATTTACCACTGTATGAGTGGAAATTAAGACTTTATGTAGTTTTTGTATGTTGTAATATTTCTTCAAATAAATCTCTACTATAAATTAAAAAAAAAAAGAAACTAACTCTGGTTAGTTTTTTAGTTGCTTTATGGCGTTCACCAATCCCATGTTTAATAGTGTTGGTGAGAGTTAACACCCTTGTCTTCTTCCTGGTCTGGAGAAAAGCACTTGGTGTTTCTCCACTAAGTTTTGGTATTAGCTCTAGGGTTTTCCTGGGTGCCACTAATCAAGCTGAGGGTTCCCTGTTCATTACTCATTTGTTGAGAGTTTTGATCATGAATGGATGTTGAATTTGTCCACTGCTTTTCTGCGTCTGTCAAAATGATTGAATGTTTTTCTCATCGTTTGCTAATACAATGAATTTTTTTGATTGGTTTTTGAATGTTGGACAGATCTTTAAATCTTTACTTGGTCATGATGTATTATCCTTTTTATATACAGTTGACCCTTTGTATGTTATGTGTATTATATACTCTATTCCTAGAACAAAGTAAGCTAGAGAAAAGAAAATGTTCTTAAGAAAATAAGGGAAAATACATTTATATTACTGTACTGTATTTTTAAAAATCTGTATATAAGTGGACCCACACAGTTCAACTCCATATTGTTCAAGGGTGAATTCTATGTGTTAATATTGCATAAGAATTTTAAGAATGTGTTCATGAGGAATATTGATCTCATGAATCCTTTGTCTGATTTTGGTATCAAGGTAATGCTGGGGGCGCTTCATAAGATTAGTTGGAAAGTGTTCCATCCTCTTCTATATTTGGAAAGAATTTGTATATAATTGGTATTAATTCTTTTCTTAAATACTTGGTAGCATTTACCAGTGAAACTATCTGGGCCTGGAGTTTTCTTTGTGGGAAGGTTTTTAAACTATGAATTCAGTGTTTTAAATAGATACAGGAATATTTAGGTATTGGGTTCGGCTTGAATAATCTTAGGCAGTTTGTGTCTTTTAGGGAATTTATCCATTTCATCCAAGATATTGAATTAAAGTCACTTATAATTCCCTTATTATCCTTTTAATGCTTGTAGGGTCTATAATGATGTTTCCTCTCCATTCCTGATATTGGTAATTTGGGTCTTTCCTTATTTTTCTTGATTAGCCTCACTAGAAACTTTTCTGTTTTATTCTCTCTTTTTTTTAAGATTTTTGTTTGTTTATTTGAGAGAGAGAGAGAGCATGAGAGGGAGGAGGGTCAGAGGGAGAAGCAGACTCCCCGCTGAGCAGGGAGCCTGACGTGGGACTCAATCCCGGGACTCCAGGATCATGACCTGAGCCGAAGGCAGTCGCTTAACCAACTGAGCCAGCTTTTGATTTTATTGGTTTTCCTTATTGTTCATTTTCTGTCCCTTGATTCTTTTTTTTTCTATTTATTTATTTATTTATTTGATGTGTTCCATGATTCATTGTTTGCATATAACACCCAGTGCTCCATGCAGAACGTGCCTCCTTAATACCCATCACCAGGCTAACACATCCTTCCACCCGCCTCCCCTCTCGAACCCTCAGTTTGTTTCTCAGAGTCTGTAGTCTCTCATGGTTGGTCTCCCCCTCCGAATTCCCCCCCTTCATTTTTCCCCTCCTACTGTCTTCTTTTTTTTTTGACATATAATGTATTATTTGTTTCAGAGGTACAGGTCTATGATTCAACAGTCTTACACAATTCACAGCACTCAGCTAACCCATCCCCCCACCCCCCTCCCCTCTAAA